CATTTCTATGCACTTTAAGTTTCACTGAAAAGATGACATTTACGTGGTTGTGATATTTAATTTATCATAGAGGGTCACATTTTTTTTCCTGAAATACCATGATATGGTAAACTTCAACTTTATGAATGAAAGCCTTTGCAATCATTTAACAAACCGAAAATTCACACAAAATTTAAGACCACCATATTACTAAAGACAATCTATTCCACAATCTAATTACAGAAAGATTACTTTAAAGGGCTTTAAAACTAAAAGGAATAATTAAGAGTAAGAGACCAAAGCATGCCCAAGTCCTCTGTCTGCTGAGAGGGGCAGTTCTGAGATCAGCTCCTACCAGAAGGTTTAAAAAACCAAACACAGGTCTGCTTAAAGTTGGAAGGGAAACATTTCTAGAGCTGTTCAATTTTCAGCACAATTTAAATATAAGCCTGCAAGCCCCACTGCTCTATTTGCTGAGGACCCTTAGTGAGGACCCTTATTAACCTCAAAAGCACCAAGAAGATAAAGCTGTTGACTAACAACCCTATAATAAGAAGTAAATTTAAAATGAAAGCATACCATCTTATACAAAGATAAGAATACTCTGTATTCTTATAAATACGGATACTCTTATGCATACACACACACCCCCAGCAGATAAATGTATTTTTATAAGACATGGGCTCAAAAATGTTGAATATAACAATGGATTGGTAAATTAATGAACACAATCCAAAGTTATTTTTAAATCTTTCTAATTACAGTCCAATCAACATAAAATGTTTTTCAGTAGAGATTGCCTTATGTTATACCTTATGTTAAGTTTCAAAATTCCCTGCTTCTAACATTTTCCAACAGTTCCAATAAATCCGTATATCATGTCATCCTTTTGGTAAAAACTCCCTTGTCTACTCTTAGCAGATAAATCTCATTAAAAGAACTCCCATCCCTAAGTGAGGACAGATAAGACTGACAAGTTTTCTTAAAATCATTTCAGAAAGCCAGTGCTGTTATAGAATATATCAATATTTATCTCTTGGGCAAACTGGAGATACATCACTATAGTTTTTGTCAACAAAGTCCCCTCAAAAATGGTTGACTAAAAAAGTATCCTTCCCTCATATATACATACAGAAGTTCCCTCCTAGCTGCAGTTTCGTGTTTCTTAGTTTCGGTTACCCAAAAATATTACATATAATACGACCACCACTTTTTAGAACACATTCATATAAATTTGTTATAGTTACTGTTATACTTGCCCTGTTTCACTATTTGTCATTGCTGTTAATCTCTTACTGTGCCTAATTTATAAATTAAGCTTTGTGTATGTATGAGAAAAAACCGTAGTATACATAGGATGTGATACTATCCAAGGTTTCAGGCATCCACTGGGGGTCTTAGAACACATCAGTCATTCTCCATAGATAAGGGCATCTACTATACACACAATTAGCACTATGTTTTGTTTTAACCAATTGCAATGTGAGGACTTTAACTGGATCCTGATTCAAATAAACAATGTGTAAAAACTTTATAAGATTTGTAAGATATTTGAACTTTTGGGGTTTTTTACTGTTATAATTTTAGATTTGAGGGGTACATATACAAGTCTGTTACATGGGTATAAACTGTGTGACGGTGAGAATTGGGCTTCTATTGAACACCGCCCCTCACCCCGGTGGTAAGCATCGTACCCGCTGGCTGGTTTTTCAGTCTTTATTCCCTATCCTCCTCCCCACCTTAGTAGTCCCCAGTATCTCCTGTTCCCATGCTTATGCCCATGTGTAGCCAGTGTTTAGCTCCCACTGATACGTGGGAACATGCAATATTTACTTTTCTGTTTCTGTGACAATTCACTTAGAATGATGGTCTCCAAAAACATCTATGTTGCTACAAAGGACATGATTTCATTCTTTTTCATGGCTGTGTAGTATTCCATGGTGTATATGTACCCTATTTTCTTATCCAGTCCACTGTTGATGGGTACCTAGGTTGGTTCCATGTTTCTGCTACTGTGAATGGTGCTGTGATGAACATACAGGTGCAGATATCTTTTTGGCAGAATGATTTATGCCCCTTTGGGTATAGACCCCGTAGTGGGATTGCTGGGTTGAATGGCAAATCTATTCTTAATTCTTTGAGAAACCTCCAAACTACTTCCCACAGGGGCTGAACTAGCTTACGTCTCTATCAATAGTACATGAGCATTCCCTTTTCTCTGCAACCTCCCCAACATCTGTTGTTTTTTTTGACTTTTTAATAATGGCCAATTTGACTGGTATGAGATGATATGTCATTGTGGTTTTGATTTGCATTTCTCTGATAATGAGTGATGTTGAGCACTTTTTCATATGCTTTGCTCTATGTTGAATGAAACGATTCCCTCATTTTGTGGACTCTATCTAGATGGCTTTGAAAATCCCAAGGTAAGCCTTCAGTAAGAAAGAGGCTTGTAATAAAAATGTGCTTGTACTCTGTCTGGGGGTAAATCTGTTACACTTGTGAATCTTTTTTCTTATATGGATTCCTTTGATAGCATGTGGCATCCATTCCCGCCTATGTCTAATGCGCCTTCCTCTATTACAGAGGCTGGAATGCTGACAGCCACAGTTCCCAGACTCCTTGGCAGCTTGAGTTCTGGATGGGAAGTTGGTACCACCAATTAGATGTACTCACAGGTGATATGGAAAGTGGAAATGAGGCAAAGAACCTGTCCTTGCTGTTTTTGGTTGTTGCAAACACCAGCAGACAGGCACGCAGGATACTGGAAATCTTGAGGTTTCCTACTGCAGTGTCCAGTCTCCAGTCGGGGGGCAAGAGACAATTTTTAGAGACAAAAGCCAAGTTGACATTCCAATGCCCTGACATTGCTTTTATGGGTGTCCGAAGACACTTGCAGTGATGGCAGCAGCAACTTCTTGATCTCTGGGTCATAGCTATGAGGGTATGCTCTTGAACACAGCAACAGCCCCAGGGGTAGCCTCCTGTTTCCCCAATGCCTGATCAAGACAAAAGGAGCAGCACCCCTGCAAGTGAGTTCTTCAATGTTCTGGAAGTCATTCCTGGAGGCCTGGTCTTAGGTCTACTCTTGTAGCCTTTTCAATAAATGAGTAGCTCCTAACTGCATGTGTTAAATCCCTGTCTGCTCAAAATTCCTAGAGGTTCCTGATGCATGAATTTTTATGATACAAACACATTTATTTTTTTCACCATAACATTACAGTGAACTCACTATAGCTCATTCTAAGAGGACACAGAGTGATGGTCATTGTTGTCATCAATTTAGCCCTTATTTTAGGGCCAGGCACTCTGTTAAGCACTTTTCATATTATTTTCATTTAATTCTTACAAGAATCTAACCCCATTTTACAGGCAAAGAAACCAAGGCACCATGAAATTTAAGCATTTTATGCAGGACTACACAGTTAAAAAGTAGTGAAGTTGGGATTTGAACCCAGGTAGTCTATGCACTGTTGCCTCCCAAGTGGAAGTATTCCAAATTTGATCTATTATTTAGTCACTCTTAAGAATGCTTCCAAAGTCATGCAGCTTTCCCACTGGAAAATCTAACACCTGCGTCTTCCTATTCTCCAGGCCCAAAATGGAGCTTGGAAGTTTCTTTAAAAGTTAAACACATACTACCATATGATCCAGCCATTCCACCCTTAGCTATCTACCCAAGAAAAAAGAGATTTTATAGCCCTACAAAGACTTATACATAAATACTTACAGCACCTTTATTTTTTACTATCCAAAAACTGGAAACAACTCAAATATTCCCCAACAGGTGAATGGACAAAGAAACTGGAGTACAGCCATATAACAGAATACTATCCAGCAATTAAACGGAATGAGCCACTGATGTATAAGACAGCATGGTTGGATCTCAAAATAACTGTGTTGCATGAAAAAACCAGAGTCCAACAAGGGTACATACCGTAAAATTCTATTTATATAAATTTCTAGAAAATGCAAACCAATCTATAGTGACAGCAGATCAGCGCTTGCCTGGGAATGGGTATGTAAGAGGTGGAATGGGGAGCACAGGGGGAAGGGATTACCAAGGGGCACGAGAAAACTTTGGGGGTGATGGGTATATTCATTATCTTAATTGTGGTGATAGTTTCCGAAGTATATATATGTCAAAACTTTTTAAAAAACTGTATACATTAAACATGTGTAGTTCACGATATGTCAGTTATACTTCAATAAAGCTGCTTAACACAAAAAACAACCCTGAGAGTCATCTTCAGTCCATCCCTTCACCTCACTCACACAATCCTGAGCATGGCTTACTCTTTCTTCTACAGTGTCTCCAGTTCTATCCTTTCTTTCCAGAAAGTACAAAGTTCAAAGAAAGCATAGTTCAAAGAACCTGGTCAGAAGACACAAGTTCTAGTTCTACCTCTGCCATTTATTAGCTCTACTTAGCCTGCCAGAGACTCAGTTTCCTCATTCATAAAATAGGAGAAAAGAGTTGCTTTGAGATTCATTAAATAATGTATTCATCCATTTAACAAATATTAACCTGCCTACTACATACAAAGATCATAATGAAAGACCTACACAAGAGTATTCATAAACTGTAAATGGGTATGTAAGATGGATCTGCATCCTGGAGATGGATGCAGATGAACCTTCTCTGTCACTGGTCTTATTACTGCCAGGCCAAGTCAGTTTACTAACGCAGTGTCTCAGAGTTTCACAGTATTGCAAATGGCTCAAGTGCTCTCTACTGTTATTTATAGTATTGTCCTAACTCTGGCTCCTCCCTCACTGCTTATCTCACCGACCTCAATTCTCTTCTTTCTTCTTCCCATGGGTCAATCCAGCTAATTGTACATGTATGTCTGCATGAGTATCCCCTCACTAATGAAACCCTTTGCACCCTTCTCTATTTATGCCCACTGCCTCACCCGATGCCTAAGTCAAAATGAGCTCTGCTGACCTCAGCAACTTTGGGAAAGAGGGCTCTGACTGGATACTATAAGGTTAAAGACAAAAAGAACAGCATATGGGTGCTGCAGCCACTGCAGCCGAGTCCGGATCTCGTTTCCATGCACCCCCGACGCCCGCCCGACGTGCACTCCTGATTCCTTTTGGTTCAAAGTCCAATATGGCAACTCTCAAGGATCAGCTGATTCATAATCTTCTAAAGGAAGAACAGGCCCCCCAGAATAAGATTACAGTTGTTGGGGTTGGTGCTGTTGGCATGGCCTGTGCCATCAGTATCTTAATGAAGGACTTGGCAGATGAACTTGCTCTTGTTGATGTCATGGAAGACAAATTGAAGGGAGAGATCATGGACCTTCAATATGGCAGCCTTTTCCTTAGGACACCAAAAATTGTCTCTGGAAAAGACTACAATGTGACTGCAAACTCGAAGCTGGTCATTATCACAGCTGGGGCATGTCAGCAAGAGGGAGAAAGCCGTCTGAATTTGGTCCAGTGCAACATGAACATCTTTAAATTCATCATTCCTAATGTTGTAAAATACAGCCCAAACTGCAAGTTGCTTGTTGTTTTGAATCCAGTGGCTATCTTGACCTATGTAGCTTGGAAGATAAGTGGCTTTCCCAAAAACCGTGTTATTGGAAGTGGCTGCAATCTGGATTCAGCCTGATTCCATTACCTGATGGGAGAAAGGCTGGGAGTTCACCCACTGAGCTGTCATGGGTGGGTCCTTGGAGAGCATGGGGACTCTAGTGTTCCTGTGTGGAGTGCAGTGAATGTTGCTGGTGTCTCCTTGAAGAATCTGTACCCAGATTTAGGCACTGATACAGACAAGGAACAGTGGAAAGAGGTTCACAAACAGGCTGTTGTTAGTGCTTATGAAGTGATCAAACTGAAAGGCTACACATCCTGGGCCACTGGACTGTCTGTGGCAGATTTGGCAGAAAGTATAATGAAGAATCTTAGGCGGGTGCATCCAATTTCCACCATGATTAAGGGTCTTTATGGCATAAAGGATGGTGTCTTCCTTAGTGTTCCTTGCATCTTGGGCCAGAAAGGTATCTCAGACCTTGTGAAGGTGACTCTGACTCCTGAGGAAGAGGCCCGATTGAAGAAGAGTGCAGATACTCTCTGGGGGATCCAAAAAGAGCTGTAATTTTAAAGTCTTCTAATATCATACTACTACACTGTCTAGGCTACACCGGGATTTTAGTTGGAGCTTGTGCACGCTGTCCTTTTCACTTGATCTGTGATTAAAGCAGTCATATTAAGATGGACTCGAGCCAGGCTCGGTGGCTCAGCCTGTAATCCCGCACCTTTGGGAGACTGAGGAGAGTGGATTGCCTGAGCCCGCGGGTTCGAGATCCGCCTAGGCAGCGAGACCTCATCTCTACAATAAATCAAAAAATCAGCCGGGCATGGTAGCGCGCACCTGTAATTCCGGCTACTCGGAAGGCTGAGGCGGAAGGATCACCGGAGCCCAGCAGGTCGAGGCTACGGTGACCGGGAGCGGCCACTGCACTCCAGTCTGGGCGACAAGAGTGACACTCCAACTCAAAACAAACAAACAAACAAACAAACAAAAAAAAAAAGATGGACTGGGAAGAACATCAATTCCTAAAGTTAGAAATAGGAATGGTTCATAAAAATTACAGCTATATCCTGATGCTGGATGGTAGGTACTTAGTTCGTGTAGTCCTAAACTGATTAGTATGAAATAGTTTACCACGTCTGAGGCACCACTGCCAATCTGCACACACTGCAGTTGCCCCTCAAACCAGATGCGTATTTACTGTGTGTTATATAACTTCCCGGTTCCTTCACCGAACATGCCTAGTCCAGCTGTTTTTCTCCCGTCGGTCACATCCTGGGATCCAGTGTATAAATCCAGTATTGCATGTCTTGTGCATAACTGTTCTGAAGGATCTTATTTTGTGTGCTATTTGTATCAGTAGTGTACATTACCATATAATGCAAAAAGAAAGATCAATGCAACCAACTATCCAAGTGTCATACCAACTGAAACATAAAATAAACCTTGAATAGTGGGGAAAAAAAAAGAACAGCATATGAACACTGTGCGCTCATTGGTAAAGAAATATAGGTTAGCAGCTCTAAAACTATATGTATGCTAGGGTTGAACAAATAAACAAATTGTAGACAAAAAAACCCTGCTCCTTTTGAGATTTTTCCTGGTGTCTTCTAATTCCAGTCATCCACTCATTTAGTCCTTCATTCATTCATTTAGACTCTGACCAAGGGCTGCCTAGGCTGGGTGCTGAAGATACCAAAAAGAAAGAGAAATGATACTGCCCTCGAGGAGCCCACAGTCTAGTGAGCTTTACACTCCAGTCTCCCTAAGTCTGATTTTGCTGACTTCCGAGATATTGCTATATTTAATGGCTGTACAAGGACACCACTGACAAGCACTCAGCATCCATTCCCACCTCCTTCTAATGAGTTTCTTGTTCAATAAAAGGCAGGTACTTTGTTCTTTCATGAATTACCTAAGGTACTAACACTCTGTACACAACAGGTTTTGAACAAAGGCTGACCACCAAACCACTGGCCTAAGACCCACAAAACATCCAATGACAACAAAAGAAAACTAGAATGCATACTTCATTTTAAAACAGATCCCAACCTTCCAGTTTCTGAAGCTCTCCACTTACTTGTTTACGTTGAATCAAAACGAGATTTATAAACCCATATTCCTCAAAAAAATGGGAGAATAAAAGAGTCTTTTAGAAAACAAAATTTGACCAGGCTCAGTGGTTCAGCCTGTAATCCCAGCACTTTGGGAGGCCGAGGCGAGTGGATTGCCTGAGCCCACAGGTTTGAGACCAGCCCGGGCAACTTGGTGAGACCTCATCTCTACAGTAAATTAAAAATTAGCCGGGTGTAGTAGCACATGCCTGTAGTTCCTGCTACTAGGAAGGCTGAGGTGAAAGGATTGCCGGAGCTCAGCAGGTTGACGCTGGGGTGGCTGTGAGTGTGCCACAGCACTCCAGCCTGGGCAAGGGAGTGAGACTCTAACTCAAAAAAAAAAAAAAAATTTTTCTTTCATGTAACCAACGACCAATGTCTATCCCCTCAAAATCTAATCCTATGCTAAGTGTTAACAGCAATTTGTTAGTCTTTTTTCTTAACAATTTCTTTCTATCTATAGTCATATTTATATTTAAGTTTTATATCCTTTTCTATGAAATATAATCCTTTCAAATGTAAGCAAGGGAAATGTGCCCTAGCCTGTTCACCATATGCAAAAAAATGTTCTTACTTTAGCATCGTGTCAAACTAACACACGTTCAACAATACATATGGCAAGAATATTCACTGAGGCATTGTTTGAAACAGGAAAAGGAGCCAACTTGAATGTCTACAACTTTGGGACAGATTTTACAAAGTATGACACATGCATATAATGGAATACTATGCAGCCACTGAAAGGAATGAAGCCAATCTGTACGTATCAATGTGGAATAACTGCCAAGATGTCATGCCAAAGTATAAAAGTAAAGGGTAAATATGCCACCAATGTGTTTGGAAAAGAGTTGGTTTTCTGTGAGGTGGGGGTTATAAAAATGAACAAGTTTTTATGTGGACGGATCATCTCTGGAATGGTACATAGGAAACTGTTAGCCAGGCTCAGCCTGTAATCCTGTGCCTTTGAAAGGCTGAGGTGAGTGGACTGCCTGAGCCCGCGGGTTCGAGACCCGCCTGGGCAGCGAGACCTCATCTCTACAATAAATCAAAAAATCAGCCAGGCGTGGTAGCATGCGCCTGTAATTCCGGCTACTAGGAAGGCTAAGGCGGAAGGATCGCCGGAGCCCAGCAGGCGAGGCTGCAGTGACCAGGAGTGGCCACTGCACTCCAGTCTGGGCGACAGAGTGAGACTCCAACTCAAAAAAAAAATAAGAAACTGTTAACAGCATCTGAAAAAGAGAATGGGGTGGGGAACGGGAATGTGATGGGATGAATACTTACTTTTCACTGTATATCCCTCTCTATTGTTTGCATTTTTTTTTAAACCAGTATATATCTTACCTTTTCAAAAAGTTTTTTTTTTAATGTTTTAGTAATACATGCCAATGTCATTCTTGTCATTTTGCTTTTCCTTGTGTATTATTGCAAGCACACAAGTTTTTTGTTGTTGTTGTTATTGCTTTTCTCACTCAATTGCCCCGGCTGGAGTGTAGTGGCACACTCACGGCCACTGGAGCCTCTACCTGCTGGGCTCAGGTGATTCTTCTGCCTCAGCCTTTCAAGTAGCTGGAACCACAGGTGTGCACTACCACGCCCAGCTAATTTTTTTCATTTACTGTAGAGACGAGGTCTCACCAAGTTGCCCAGGCAATTCTCTCACCTCAGTCTCCCAAAGTGTTGGGATTACAGGTGTGAGCTACCACGCCCAGTCATCACATAAGTTTAAGGAAAGAATCATTCTTCATTTTCAGGAAAAACACCAGAGTAACTGGGTAAATCCAAAGAGCTCCCTCTCCACCAGCTCCTCTGTGCTATGCCTCCCTATCATAGAATTAAGTGGAAGAAACAACTTGGCTCAGCCTTCTTGGGGGAGCAAATGGTATCTATTTGGGGGCACTCAGCTGGGCTAGCTGTAGCAGGTCTCTTTCTGAATGCTGAGAAAAATCAGTGGAGTTCAAGACAAGTTTGGATAACGAGGGGAGCAGGAAAATTGATGGGGGGGAACCAGCCTGTGTGATGAATAGCTTGGTCCAGAACAGCAGGTGACGAGTATGCAGATGTGAGACTGGCAGGGAAGGAAGATGGTCGGTTCACAACAGATGGATGGAGATGCTCAATCATCCCCAGAACAGGCACACGGCTGCCACACGGGCCTGTCTGCTCCGGCACCAGCAGCTCCTCCTCACCTGCCCGGCAAGCCCCCGCCTCCAGAGGCCCTCTGCACTGGACCCACACCAGGGAAGGGCCAGGAAGAAGAGCAGGAAGTGCGACACCACGCTGCTGCAGGCTGGCCTCTAGGGGACTCACTGCTAGTGGACTCTTCTCACTTTGCTGCTTCCTCCAGGTTCCCAAAACACACCCATTTTGTCTCTCTTGGGAGCTGTCACTCCTGAGGAAGGTTTTTACCACTAGGACGACCTGTTTGCCCAGGTCGGAGGGCTGTCCACAACATGGGAATATCAGTGTTGAAAGCAGGCAGTCCTGGGCAAACCTGAACCGCTGGTTAGCCACACAACTTATTGGACCGCCCTCTCTTTTTGCTCTTCCTCTTCACAGTCAGCAAGGGAACCTAGATCAACCTTTTCGGTTCAAGCTCATGGCTGAGTAGAACTCATTTATGGCATTGGTTTCCTCCAGTCAACAAGAAGACTACAGGAGGTAAGAAATAATTAGACAGTCATTCAACTCCTATCTTTTCTCAGAACGGGGACATCTTTTTTAAAAAGTCCATGATACACCAGGTTCGATTACTCCAGGAAATGTAAGAATGAAGTTAAATCTTGATGCCATAATCTATGTCTCGTGAACAAAGAATCAGAAGGGTCAGTCAGCCCCTCACAGAGCCAATTCTACTCCTTCCAACTCTGCCGCAGGAGTTTCTAAGGATGAGGAAATGGGCCACAAACAAGCCAGGGGTGGAAGCTGGCAAGATCTTCCCCTTCCCCACAAGCTATCTGCTGGACCCAAGCTCGAGGAAGAAAGCTTTGTAAAAAGACTTCTGGCTTCACTTAGACACATTAAAGAATTAATTATAAAGTAAAGCTGAAGGAGAAAATTAATTTTAGAAACACAAGAGGTTACAATTTTTTTCCTGGAGATGGGGGAGGAAACACAGTTATTTTCGTTTTCATCCTGGGGGCACAAGCTGGGAGCTGTCCAGTCGATAACCTGGCCATCAGAACAAGGTTTGTAATTAAAAGGTCAGTGACCTGGAAAGCCAGGGCCCCACTCCCAGAGCTTCTCAGTAATGACGGAGCTATTAAATTAAGACTGTTATGAAATCAATGCTAAAAAAGCTTTCATGGTAACGAGATTCCATTCAAGGACATGCAAACTACCTCATGAAATGGACATAAATGATAAAAAAGAAAAGTAATAAAAGAGAGTTAAATTGAAATCTGTGTAAGATTGTACTCCCTCTTAAAATACTCCAGTGAGAGAGGCCCTTCACCTCTAGTCCACCACCAAGGATGGTCCACTACCATCAGTTGTCTTCCCCAAGTTCATTTCCAGCAAAGAGGCAGTTTTGCTACTGGGACTTCCGTTTCCAGGAACAATAGAAAGATGAGATATGGTTTCACCTTTTAGAATGAGAAAGTATGGTGGTGTGTTTTATTCCTACCCCAACCAGGGCTATCTATTGGACGAGGGAGGAGAAAGTCCTTTACTTAGACACTTGAGAAGGACACAATAAGCATAAGCGTTAGCCAGCACCACCCAGGTCCCACTATATAATTTTGCAGGATTTTACAGAAAAACTATGACGTTCATTTTTTTTCCTAGAAGCTTGCCTTGCAACAGATACGTTAAGAGTAAGTTAACAGAAAACTCTATCCACACCCCTTCACCCTCTCCCCCCCCCCCACAAACAGGCATCACTTTTATCCATCTTATACTCAGGCTGCCAAATATGTTTGGAAACAGACAGCCTCCTACATTTCATGGTCGGATAGGGTGTCAAATCAACACGGGCCTATTGACGATAAGTTCCAAGTCTCTAACCTTCTGTACTTATTCTATTACTGTTTTTAAGTTACTCTAACCTCCGGGATTGCAACCAACTTAACATCCCAGATCTGACACCTGCCTGGCAAGAAATACTTCTATATGTAGAACAGTTCTATGAGGGCTTAAACACCAACACATTCTGATTATCTTCATATGTGGCTAACTCTGCAGTTGACGTGTCATCTGCAGAATCAAATTGTTAGAAAGAAAACAAAAACATTCACTCTAAAACTCTGAAGGTGAACAGCTGCTGTTCTCTTTCATCCAAAAAATTCCTGTTAAAAGGAAGAAATGCTATAAATTACACAAAATGGCAGTACAAACTTCAAAGAAAATGATAAATGATTCTAATAACTTCATGTTTCTCATTAATGATTCCATATTCAGACTTTAAAGCATCCAAAAGAGATCTCAAGACAAAAAACAAAAACCCAAACAGGAAAGACCTTTGTAAACCAATGCTCTTCCATCCCTATCCCATTCACTCCCTATGAACCCTCCCTGGTACCCCCACACCCCAAGTCAGCGAGAACAATGCTTAAGCTGTCGGTACAAAGGCAGGATGCAGCCCTTGCTCTGGGTTGTGGTTTCACAATGAAACAAACTCAGCTGATACGCCTAAAGTAACCCTCATTTTCCAATGAACTGACATGCACTACAGGGACCTCAATTTCTATATTAAATATTAAATAATATTAAAAGAAAAACAAAATTGGATTTGCCTTTTCAGGAAAGAGATGTTTATTAAAAAAAAGAAAGTCAAGATTATAATTCAAGTCAGTGCTCCACTGCAATTCCCTGAAGTGACATTGCTAGGAAAAGCCAAGGCTCTAGGAGCTGAGAGCCCTCCCAGAGCCAGAGCTCCAAACCCAGCCCTGCACCGGTCCTGTGGGGAGACTGAGAACGCGGGTGCCAGAACCTTGGTCCCTCCCGCCCCCAACAACCAGTGAGCCAACTTTCTTTCCTTCCATAACTACTGTTAGGGACATGGTAGATGCTCCCCTCTCATCCCCATCAGCCCCAGTGCCAAGCTATGCTGATCGTAGAAACCTGACCCAGGAACAGCCGGAAATTTAAAAAATGAAGTTTAAATCTGCAAAGGGGTTTTTCTTCCCCAGACGTCGATCAAACCTTGGAATTATCTGCCCAGAAAAGGTCCTGTCAGAACTTACCCTATTGGGATTCAACTCGGAAATGGATAATTACTGACTGAAGCAGCATTTTCGAGAATAATGAAAATGGATGATTTAACCTCCCTGATTCTGGGTTTAAGAACACAGGTAAACTCGAGCGCTTTTCTTTAAAGGAAGAAGGGCAGGATAGCCTCTCAAGGTGCCATATGCCACAATTCTAAAGACTCTAATCCAAATCAGGGGTCAAGAAGGAATTATGGCCACTGTACCACCAAATACTCATCCCCTTCAGGTCCTTGCCCACATGCTACCTCTCACACATTCTGAGGTTCACCCTGTTAATCACTGAAACCCAGCCCACACCAACCCCGGGGTTCCTTGCCCCTGCATTCCCTGCTTTATTATTCCCCATGGCACTTGCCACCTGACATATTACTTAATTCATGTTTCCATTTGTTAATTGTTTGTCTTTCCCCCTAGAATTTAAACTCTGCGAGGGCAGGGATTTTGTCTATTCAGTTCTCTGCTAAATGAGGGGGGAATAGGCGTGGCACAAGGTGCTCACTTACCGTTGGGCAGATTCGTTAATCAATTGGTTTTTTTTCCAAAAGAGCAACAAATAAGGACTGCATAAGACAGCTTCCTCTCTACAGTAATTGTTAGCCAAGTAACTCAAAAGAAGTATTATTTGGTCCAGAGTTTCTCTCTCTCTCTCTTTTTCGTTCTCTCTCCCAGTCAGGGATTTATTAAAATTAAACAGATTAGATGGAGCTCCTGATACTAAAACTGCTCAGCAAAGCCTGCGGTAGGGAAGTGCCGAGCAAACACCAGAGACATTTGTCTCTAAATTGCTCTAAATACCTTCTGCAAATGAAATTCTAACCCAGCTGCGTTTGAGAGAAAATGAGGACTAACTGGTCATTGTCGGTGGAAGAGAAGATCAGGCAGTTATAATACTGCACAATATACTGGAGCTGAGGATCTCTCGGCAACCATAGATTTTGTCTCAGGTTACCCCGGGTAATCAGCTCAGCTTTTAGGCTCAGCTTTCCCCAGCTTCAATGCTTTGATGAGAGAGCTGAAATCCCTAAGCTTTTATGATTAATTACTCCCCATAGGTATACATATTTCAAGGAAAAACTCTTTTACAGCATGATGCTTGCAGAGTGGAGAGGCCAGCCAACACACTCCAAATTTTAATAATCTCCTAATGATGGGGGGGCAAGCACAATGCAGCTGCCAGCGCGCGCGAAGCTCCTCTCCAACCCTGTCACAGGGGCCCGGCCTTGTGGCTGCTGTGAAGCAGCTGCCTATGATGATATGTTTGGGCTTACTCTGCCCAGACCCTGGGAATGAGGCCTGGGATGTGACTGAGTGAAAGGACGGACCAACAAGGTCCTGCTGCATCACTTCGATGGGACACCATGGAGTAAACCTAGGAAGAGAAATACCCCCAAACCAATCCATGTTCAATTCCAGCCCAAAATGACTGAAAGCTCAAAATCCAGAATTTTGAGCCTGACATTCCAGCTTCTAAAGAAAAAAGGGTTTTGTTTTAGGGAGAAGAAAACTCATTTTCTGGTCTATAAAGGCTTTAGGCAATTTCCTTGATTTCTAGAAAGTTAAATGTACAAAGAATGGAAAGTCAGATTTCTTTTCTGGTGGTTTGTTTTCATTTTACAAAAAAGAAAAATATCCTAAATTCCAACAGAACCAGAATAGATCCTGTCTGCTTCAGAGAATACTGAATTTGGCAGGATCATTTTATCCCTGCTTACAAAATACCATAAAACCACTAATTTACCATTTCAACCCGTAAATCGGACTGACCCCAAGCTTGACCTTAACCTGACCTTGTTTAGTCATTTGTTTGCCTCATCCTTCATTTCTTTCTTCCTCATTCTTTACTGGAGCAGCTGACTTCCTAACCTAAAACTATCATTCTGCAGCCAGGGTAATTAACAGAAGAACAACCCAAAAAGTAGAAGTCCTCTACTGTCTCATGCAATGAGCCAATTCTGCTATTGAATGCTGCCTTTGCTATGACGCTCTGGGTTAAGTCCTTGGCTTTATATCTGGTGCTTAATTATATGAATCGTGTAATCTCACTGCCCCATTGTAAGGAAAGAAACCCGCATTCCCCACTGGGGGGCTCAGCCCCACTCCTCACAAAAGGCAGCTCTAGGACAGCCTGCCTTCCACCCTGTGGCTTCCATCTGCCCCATCCCCAGTCCCTCTGCAGGCCGCTCTGCATCGCCTTGGGGAACCTGTACCTTTCTTCTTAAGGAACGCTCTCCTGGTCGCAAGTGGGCTCTGGCGCACCCGGGAATTCTGCAGAAACTTCACTGCCGTGGCAATCTGGTGGGGGAAATAAAACAGAGAAGAAAAGTACATTTCAGCGGTCTGAATTTCAAGATGAACTATCCTGTGAGTTTTTCCCAGATCCAAAAGTATACCACTGTGGTCAAATGTATAACCAGTTAGTTCTTAAGTTTATAATCTACCTAGATAAAAGACCATATTGTTTCCCTGTCTTCACTGGCTTCCTGTATCTGAGCTCATCAAATCTAATGCCCTCCGCCTAGCTTTCAGGCCTGCCATGATCCTTCCTGTTCTCCCTGATTCCTCAGGCTGATTCTCCACACCCCTCGGCAGGTGTGGCCATGCTCACCCATGTCACCGCCCTTGTGCCATGTATGCTCTCTTCCCGAAGGCCTCCCTTTCCCGCTTCCACCTGTCTAAATGCTACCCCCCCATAGACACACACATCAGCACAGCCCTTTTATAGTCTGTTCTGACTCCTTAAAGCCTTCCCTAAATAAGCAAGCCATCTCTGATCTCCTTATTCTCTTAAATTCCTTCAATGCTTGTAGTATGTACCATATAATTGAAGACATAATTATACTGTCTTCTAATGTGCAGGCTGCCTCCCCAACCTGCAAGCAGCTAAAGGGAAGAGACCATGCTGCCTACACAGAGCCTGCAAAGTGCTGAGCACATCCCGGCTAGAAGGGATTATGTAAGGGACAGTACCTACAGCCATGCACATCAGTCCTTCTTAGGCACTGGAGCTGAATTCTAAAGAGGACTCAGGCCGAGCTCGGTGGCTCGGCCTGTAAAACCAGCATTTTGGGAGGCTGAGGCAAGAGGATTGCCTGAGCCCACGGGTTCAGGACCAGCTCGGGCAACTTGGTGAGAGCTCGTCTCTATAATAAATCAAAAAAATAATTAGCTGAGAGTGGTTGCGTACACCTGCAGTTCCAGCTACTTGGCAGGCAGAGGCGGAAGAATCACTGGAGCCCAGCAGGTTGATGCTGGGATGGCCCTGAGTATGCCACTGCACTCCAGCCTGGGTGACAGAGTGAGACTCCAACTCAAAATAAATAAATAAATAGGATTCGGAGAACAAAGTTTAGGGTTTCATGGCCAAATGCTCGCAGACTGACAGACTATCTACCTACTGCTGGTAATGAATATTATTTAATGAAATCTTCATATCTGCAAATAAGCAAGGTAGGGGACAGAAGGAAAACTGTCTAAGGTATTAACCCTCACATGAAGTGTGTGTTTACACACTGCTTGTCTGTCCTCCATCCCAGACACCAGTTCTGCAGGTGGGAAATGCCAACCTGCTCTAGGTAGGAAAGTGGCTGTTTTAAATGTCTGGTATTATTCACCTCATCAAAACCAAAAAATATGGTATCATGTTCCAGATAAAGTCAATAGCCCTGCAGTTCACTCGTAAGTTATTGAAAAAAAAATTTCTAAGGGGCTAGATGTGAGGAAGTTTTTAATATCCTTTAAACTAAGAGTAGCAGTTATACAGAGATTCAAACAGAAAATACTGTGATTGTAAATGAAATACAAGTCACAAATCATCTCCTTTCCCATATTTTATCAAAATTTAATCCTGAAACCAGACAGACGTTCAGGAACAAAAGACATAAGGATAAATCAGAAAGAAAAAAGCCAGAAAAAAAATCCCTTATTCATTTTCCCTATAACCGCTCTGTGGAAGGCTGACCCAAGATATGCCCCCTAAAGGATAAATTCAGTGTCTCAACGTTTCAGATCTGGGCCAGTCACCCATAAGAGACATACACTTGTGTCCCTTGAGAGACAAGACCAACTCCCCACAGGTTATAATTTGTTCTCCAACACTGCAGATAGTAGTAACCACCATCATGAACTGCAGTGGTGACCAGTCCATTCTGGACTAAAGAAAAATCAAGACCTGAATTTCTAAAGCCCCCAAACTGCATACTCACGCCCTTAGTCCCTCGCCCAGATCTCCTCAGGAGAAACTGAAATCAAAATCAAGAAGTCTAACAAGCATCTACAACACTGATGCATTTTAATGAAGAGACGGAAGAGAGAGAAGAAGAGGGAAAAAATAAAAGGGAATAAGTAAAAGAAGGAAAGAGAGGAGAGAAGAGGCCAACAGGACGAGAAGAGACACAACAGAAGGAGGGGGAGAAAGGAAAAGGGAAAAGTGGGAGAGGAAGAGGAAAACATGAGGAAGGGGCCCCGGCTCCAGAAAGACACAGGACAGGTACACAGGCCCCAGCCCATAAGGTCAGCACCAGTCTGCACAGCTCAGATGGCACAAGGATAATTGTTTTTCACCTGGAGAAAAAAAATACACCTTCAACACACAAGAAAATTACAGTGTTTGTATCATGCGGCAGTCTCTGCATGCTGTGATCTGTGTACCAGGTGTCAGAGGAAATGGGGATGAACAGGCCTTAGCTCCTATCGTTTCCCCAGAGAAACAGAAGCCCTTCCTTCCTCCTTCCAAAATTTTCCATGACAGAGAAAGAAAACAGAATCCTGCCACTAAAACACACAGGTTTCACCTTGCTTTTTTAATATAGTCCTTGGTATATGCATTTCTGGTCAGAGAGCAAAGTTCTGATGGGTTTAATGGTGCACTCAATGCAGTGCTTGGCGCATTCCATCAATTTTTTTTAAAAATTGCATCTCTTATTTCTTTAAATACATTAATCAGCCTAGTGTAGGCAAAACGGATCCATCGGACAATGCAATAAACATGAATTATCATCTATCCAACACGCATAATGGCTTAAAAATACATAATAGCAGGTGTAGTTTAAATGATTAGTTATTACACCTGTGGTGGGTCTGATTCAATTGGGAAAAATCATCTTTAATAGGTTAAAAGGTTTAGATCACCATGCTTTCCTTAAAGTGGCTGCAGAGAGGGAATGATGGAGTGCTCTGTCATTAGTAATTCATTTAAGAAGAACGTGGGGGATATAGCAAAGAACAGCATAAACGAGCGAATCCAATTTAAACATCAGGTAAAGTAGAAAACACCTTTTAAAAAAGCAAGATAAATGAATTTGGAAGGGAGATGAAATTGACGTATTTATTTTAACGGGAATTTGACAAAGTCCCGGCACACTTCAAACTTGCAAAAATATGAACAATTTCTTTTAAAGTTTCCATTCACTAATTTCAAGTCATATAAAATAATACTGCCAAACACCTACATAAAGTATATTTGGGGCTTGTTTATGTTCCTCTTGATCTTTGTCTGAAAATGCAGGCGACAGGCAAATCACATATTTAACAGCATTGATATCACTACGCCCGATGCAAAAATATAAAGCACCCAAACTAATAGCCCCAACATAATGTGCTGAATAAGAAAGATACCCTGATCAGCAGCTCCATGTAAGTGTGAACATATGAAAACCTCTCTTCTCCTTTCACTAATTATTTCTTCAGTCACTCTCTACTCTTCTCCCCGCCCCCCGCCCCCCCCCCCCAAGGAGCTGGCACTACAACAGGGGAAGAAAGGACCAGTCCAATTTAGAATTTTATAGCCCCATGATTCATACATCCATGGTAGGGGAATTTTCAAAACTCTTTACCCATAATGCAAAGATTCTCGCATACTAAATAACTGACAGGGCGCTCAGTTTGTGCCTTTCACCCATCTATTGTTGGACACTTTTCATTAACTTCATGAAGCAATTCAACTGACTTTCCTCTGCAGAGGCCTAACACACACAACACGCTTTTGTTGGATTCAATGATGGGGTGCCTGCAGCCTGTCCTGTATTATCGTTTGATTTTCTAATTAGAAGATGAATGTGACTATTCATGGGTTATATTTGTGCCCAACTAAATTACATAAATTCAGGCCAAATCTTCCGCCTCAATGTCAAAGATGTAAAACGGAGACAGGAACTTTATTGCACATGTTGTGGGAGTGCAGCAAACCAAGGAAAATTCTGGCGCAAAGCTCCTGATGCTGCTGTGGAAGCCACTTGCTGGTGAGTCCATGATAAACATGGAATCAGCTTGCCTGTCCCCTCCTATTGCGCAGACTGGGTTCTGAATGAGCACACCTCGAATTACCAGTAGCTAGTTAATAAAAATAAGTATAGCAAATGCAGGAGAAAACAGGAGCAAAGTTTCTCCCCCTTCATCCCTCTGATCCTATCTTCTGTCCCCTTGCCCCACCCCCCAGCAAAACAAAACAACTTTGCCATCACCAACTCCAGAATTTTATGGAAATAGAATCATGTCCGCTATTTGTTGCTTACAGAGGTAAAACTGAGGTGCAAAGAGAGGAGTGAATTCTTGCCTTTGCAGTCTGGTAACAATGGTTATGCGCCAGCAACTTCTGGGGGGGGGAAGATAAAGGGAGGGGATGGACTTCAGGTTGAAAAACACCTTTGGATCCAAGATGATTGGCCAATTGAGAGAGATTTGTGTTTGAGAGACCAGGATTTGTAACTGTATAAATCAATGGAATACAGTATACTCAGGGGTTATCTACTATGAACTATGTGCTGTTAAATGCATTGTGTAGGGTAAAGTAATCCCTAGTGAGAAGAATCGAGGTTCCTGACAGTCCTCACCGAAGAGATGCTTCCTATGTGTTTTCCACTCTCCTACAAAAGACCTGCACGTTATAATCTTCAGAATGCACACTTTATTTCTGCATGAGGGGGACGGGAGAACAGAGGCTGCCTAATAATGAACCTGGGGTTTGAGGGAGCCTTAGCACTTTGCACCTGACATGTAAACCTGATGCATTGTCTCCAGTGACACTTATTTGGAATGCCACCAATTCCAGCACTCCTGTGTACCACATACACATCTATCTCCTAAAACGTGAGCATTCATTAGCCATTTTAAAATATTAAAAATATTCAAAAATTAATGATACTGACAACCAAAGCCAAGTCCTTTTTAACCCAGAGAGATCACAACTAGAGGGCAAAAGAAAATGACCACTATAATCTGCAGGCCTGAAACCCCATTCCAGCGCCACACTGCTCCACGTGCACTGCTCAGAAGATTAAATTGCCTGTGAAAGGTTC